AAAAAAAAAACAAAGTTTTTGTTTTAGCTTTGCTGACAATAAAAAATGTTATCAATATTTTTGTTATTTGTAATTTTAATATATATTATATAACAATCAATATATTTCACCATAGTTTGACTTTGAACGTCACTAGGGTGGTATCATTCAATCTGGCCAATCAGAATGAGAGCTGATCTAGCGCGCTGGTCTCCACCTAGGACTTTTAATTTGAAAGGTGGAGTATGTGGCGCTTCGGATGTAAAATAACACTAAAAATGTAATTCTAGTAAGCTGTATTGATATAGTCAATATGCTATGAATAAAATACATATAATTAAATCATCCCGTTTGTGCGGTTTAATTGATGTGTTTTTAGACCACCTCCTGTCACATGATGCGGGTCGCGAATGACTTCACGCTCTGTCATGGCTGCGTGAGACATAAACATGCCAGTGGTTCGGTAATTCAGAGCATTAAACTAGTGTGATGATTAAAGCAGCCGCCATAGCCAATCATTTTGCCTTGAGGTCCGCCATATGAAATCGGCTGGTCGGTGTTTAGTGCGGAAGGTGAAGTGATAGCTGTGTTGTAGATCACAGGAAGGATGACTGAAGCCGTGCTGGAGCATCACGGCGGCTCACAGAGTTCCTGTAAGACAGGCTCCAAATCCTGGCAGTACAGGTAAGTTACTTCACACAAACAGCTCCTTTACAAACAAACAGTGTTTACTTATGAGCCATGTTAACTGTTCAATATCAAATAGCAAATGCTACATTTCTATTACTAGGGGAGCTTGCACAATATTCCATTTCCGGAGTAAACTGGACTTAAACACATGCCACTCTGATCTTATTCCTGTCATCATGTCCCTCCAACCCGTATGATTTTCTTTCTTCCATGCATCACAAAATGAAATGTTAGGCAGAATGACAGCCTCAGTCTCCTTTCACTTTCATTATATATACATAAACACGACTGACCACACACGACTGATATATATTATGGATATATCCCAGCGTCCTGTGAATGGTCTTTGTTCATATTATACAATTTCGGGTTGATTTGGTGATATATTCTTTTAGGTAATGGTATGAAAGTCTTGCACACACTAGTTGTTTTACAGCATGATGTTTTCTTTTTTAAGTGATCTGATGGAAAAGGTGGATGGGTATTTGATGAAGTACACCAATCTTGTTACAGGATGGCAGTATCGGTGAGTCTGAAGTATCTATTTAATATGAACGGGCCCAAATGAAATCTGTGCTGATTTGGGCGGAATCGTTAGAATTCTGCAGGTAAAATGCAATAGTTAAAATATTTAATGAACTCCTAAACTGTTATGTTTCAATTATAGATATTTTGTGCTCAACAATGAGGCAGGGCTGCTGGAATATTTTGTGAATGAGCAGTCAAGAAATCAGAAGCCCAGGGGTTCGCTGCCATTAGCCGGAGCGGTGATTTCCCCCAGCGATGAGGATTCACACACCTTCACTGTCAATGCCATCAGCGGAGAGCAATACAAACTTAGAGGTTGTCACATGATCTCTTTCAACCTTTCTTTTTTGCTAGATTGGTTTCACTTCTGCTCTCTTAATCATACCGCAAGTTTTTTTTGTTGTTGTCGTTTTTGTAAAAACGCAGCTTATACAAACATGTTTCACTTGTCTGATCTGAGCTAATATTATAATTTATATTTATTACCTGTTTGTGTAACTTCAGCCTCAGATGCAAAGGAGCGACAGCACTGGGTCAGCCGACTGCAGATCTGTGCGCAGCACCACACAGAGGCGATGGGCAAAGTGAGACTTACATCCAGACACCTGTAATACAGTTAACACCACCGTACTGCTCAGTGATTTAAGTTACAGGAACAGACAGACAATCTGTTAAATTACAATGCCCCGAAAATAGTTATTTCAGAGTTTAAAATTCTGTCATCATTTTTTCACCATCATATCATTCAAAACTGATACATTTTACCAGCTTTCTTTCGAGAACCAATGCTATTTGGCATTGCTGACATCAAGTCTGATATTTTACTAGTTTTTGCCATGATGATAAGCAAAGAAACTGTAATGGTGTTAAAAAGCAAGCTTGTATGATGTGACTTTGCACTGCATATTTGACTTTACTGTATGTGACTGGATGAGATGCACTTATATTTTGGGTCCGTTTCTCAAAACATCAGAAGACTTTGATTATAGCCCACAAATTATAATGCCTACATTTATTTGTCCTTCTTGGAGCTTTGCTGTCATAATCATCACCAGCTTTCTAGCATTTTTTTTTAAATCTCTGCTTTAGTGTTCCTTGAAAATACAGATTTGGAGCGAAATGATGATAAAATTATAATTTCTGGGTGATCTAATTCTTTCAGCAATTATCCATAATCCCACAGACAAACCCACCGCTCCAGACTCGCAGTCTCTCCATGGCGTCTCAGGGCAGTGGCAGCTCTCCAGGATCTCAACACAGGATAAACCAGAACTCAAACGCCCTGTTGGGCCTGTCCCAACTGCAGCGTGGCTCATCTCTTTACTCCAGCAGGAAGTCGCTGCTGCCTGATCACTTGCTGGAGGCCAGAGAGGTGAGACTGAATGATGCTTTTAGAGGCCCAATTGCATATCTCTTTGTAACTTCATAAGTATCTGATCTAAATTTTGAGGTGTAGGATGTTCATTAACCATTAAATGCTCCTTCTTCAGATGATGAGCCAGGCTCAGGGCCAGCACAGAGACCTGATCCAGAGTATTGAGGGTCTGCCCTCCTCCCAGGGTCCCTCTCCCTTGGACCAAGACTTGCTGCTGCTGAAAGCTACTTCTTTGGCCACCATGACCTGCCTCAGCGACTGCCTGCATATCCTGCAGCTCCAACAAGTGGCTCGGCAGAAAATTCCTCTCAGTGGTGAGTGTTTTTTTTATTTTTTTATCTGTGTTGATCCTTGTTGTTTTCTTCATTATGTTAAATGTAACAGTAGATATGTTTACATCTCTTCATTTTATGTCACTTGTGCATTACATGTGTACATGCCCAGTGTATAATGGATAATAGAAAAACAAAAAAATATATATATTTTTTAAATGTTTAAAAAAATGTGAAATGAGGTACGTGATTCTAGATATCTGGCAGTTTTTCCTTTGTCTGGCTCCACTAATATTAGACCTGACTTTTTACTTTATGCTTTGTCTCATGCTACTGCAGTGCTTCGATGTTAAGTGAATGCATTTCTCTTCCAGTAAAAGACAGTAAGAGGGTTATTTATAAGCACAGCTTCCATCACAGAAATTATTGATTGGTGCTGCTCCTGTGTGTCATACAGTATGAGTCTCTTTTTGTATTCCTCTCTGCTTTTCTTGACAAGATTTTAGCATGAAATTGGTAGCATTTTGTTAACTTTTTTTTTTTAGAGTGGCCATATCCTATATATCCTATCCTATATTTATATATTTAAACATTAAAGGGATAGTTCACCCAAAAATGAAATCGTTTACTCTAATTACTCACCCACGGATAGTTCACCCAAAAATGAAAATTCTGTCATCATTTACTCACACTCATGTCGGTCCAAACCTGTATGAGTTGCTTTCTTATGTTGAACACAAAAGAAGATATTTTGAAGATGGCTGGTAATCAAACAGTTGGTGGTTGCCATTGACTTCCATAGTATTTTTTTTCCTACTATGGAAGTCAATGGCAACTATCAACTGTTCGATTACCAGCAATCTTCAAAATATCTTCTTTTATGTTCAGCATAAGAAAGCAGCTCGCACAGGTTTGGAACGACATGAGGGTGAGTAAATGATGACAGAATTTTAAGTTTTGGGTGAACTATCCCTTTAAGGTCTAGGTTAGGTTAGTTATAATTAAGCTTTACATGACCATTTTCCACCCTCTCCCTAATCTTTAGAATTAAATGGGCTCTTTTTTTGCTGTGCGTTTAAGACTTCATGTAAACATCATCTTCACATTCGAAATGAGATGCAGTGCTTTAGTGCACTTAAGGTGCATATTAGTGAAATTTCGGTGAAATCAAAATAAAATAATTGGGACAGAAGGTAGTAATGCATTAAGCGCGGCTCACACAGAAGTCTATTTCAAGTCAAGCAGCTTTCTGTTGGTCGACACAGCAAATTCTCTTGACCAAATTGAATATGAGCGAAATCAGCATGGGGAACTTTTTTGCCCCCATGTAAAACTCCTAATCGTGCGATTCCTGCTGAAATGACGCAAAATGTTGCTGAGCAACGGTAATTGTGACCAAACCTTCACTCACAAGATGCAGGACTTTCCCATTGTAGTGCAACTCTCCCATCCTTCAATAACAAATACCTTTGTAAAGCCTAAATTATGTTGTGAAACGACTGCAGGTTTTGAATATTAGGTGATTTGGAAAGATATGCAAAGCTGCTGGTGCTGCATACAGTCAGAAACGGCACAAGGTTAAGCACAATTTCCCATATTTATTCTTATCGTTCGTTTTTTTGGCTCAAAGCTGCTGGTGCTGCATACAGTCAGAAACGGCACAAGGTTAAGCACAATTTCCCATATTTATTCTTATCATTAGTTTTTTGGCGTTTACTGTATATATTACTGTAACTATCCAACCTCTGTATTTGCTTTTCAATGACTGGATTCTGCCAAGTTTCTGAATACCAAATAAGCATTGTTGATGTGTGATATGGGTGTGATATGTTTTTTTTTATTGGCTGATATCTAGAGATCAGGGGGGCTGATATAATGCTGATATAGCACAATTTATTACTAACAAATAAAACTTTACAGAAAATGTGTAGTTTCACTTTGCATTGCTGTTGGTAGATTTTACCCACTTTTATCGGCCACTTTTATATCACATAAATATTCACTGATTAATTGTCTAGGACTGCATCATAGGCGCATATATAACAGTCTGGTACTAGTCATGTATTTAAATGCATTCATCTTTTTAGCACTGTTTAGAAGTACAAAAGCCATGGCATGATTTAACTTAAAAATGGAGCAAATACAGCCTCCCTTTTAGTTGAATACCATCATAGTGTAATTTGTGTAACACTCATCTATTGGCTGCCGAAATGCTATCCAAAGATTAATAATGTAGAGTCTTTTAGAGAACCACACGTACTCTCTTTCTGCAAATCCGCTATCAGACAGTTATTGAATACCTTAAATCACATATTCACTGCGACTCACTGATCCTTATGTGTAATCCAGGTCAGTGCAATACGATCAGAATACACAACGCCACAAGCCCTTCTGCTCACGTCACAGTGTCTGGGTGCACCAAGATAACCAATAGCTGAACAGAAAAATGGTAGTTAATTTTCTATTTGATATTATAGAAAAACCACAAGCGTTTGTGGTCGCAAATCTAATAATCTCAGGTCATGTTTGTGCCTGTAGAATTTATGACCTAGGGCCCTGCTCAGGGAGTGGAATATTGTTTTATAATTAATGAGGAACTGTATCCACCACTGATAGACTTCTGCAGGTAACCAGAGCTCTGCTGGCGTCACTCAAGCACGGCGGTTGACAAACTTACCAAATTGTGTTACCATACCGTCGTCAATTCTTGGATGAAGTTGTTTCCTGTCAGATTTGCATGTTTGGGGATTCTTCTGGCCCAAAAACCCTTGGAGTTTTGCAAAACTGAAGCCTTCTAGCTGTCAAGCGACTTTAATGCTACCCAGTCATGAAGCATACATATTTTATTACTCTCTGACTAGAAAGAAACAAGATGTAAACATCCCACAGTTCCAGGATCACCTGCATTTCTACTGTAAAAAGTAGTGAGCCACCTTGTGAACTTTCTGAACTTCCTAATGACTGGAACAAAACAAAAACCACCAGATTAGTCTTTGTGCCAATAAGTAAACAAGTCAACAATGGGCAGGGCTCCGTGCAGACGGTGAGACCCTGGGCTCAGGTTTCCACTCAGAGCTCTGTGTCAGTTGTCAGAGTGCTAAACACCCAGAAATCCTGTGGCGTTAGAGGCTGCTGTCGGCTTGTGGGCATCGTGCTGGTGGGCCGGTGATATGAGCACCTCTGAGCCAGGTTTTGTGTGCCCTCTAGGCCCTACACTCGAGTGGCTGGAGCCAAAACTTCCAGACATCCTGAAGAATGGAGGGACGCTACCCAGCATCACCAAAGATGATGGCAAAACAGAGGGAACCATTCTGGAACCTTTAGAAATGGACTCCTGTGATATCGCTGGAGTAAGATTAGCTTTATCTAAACTTTTTCTTATCATTCTTGCTAACTGTGGTATTATTTTACAAATGTGTTTGAATGATTTGCAAACAAATCTGAGTTTGAAGAATCTTTAAAAGTCCTTATTGAATGATTATGCATGATTTGAAAAGTCATTGGTCTAAAAGTGTGGGACTTGATCACTAATGGCGCTTTTCCACTGCACGGTACGGCTCGGTACGGTTCACTTTTGGGCCCGTGCCGAGCCGAACCGTGCCGTGCCGTACTGAGCCGTACCGAGCCGAGTCATACCACGCAGTGAAAAAGCGCCATTAAGTGGTTGTCCAAATAAATGGTGGAAAATAGATTTCTGAGGATCTGAGCTTGTCTTAGATTAGACATTTTTTATTATATTTATAATGACTAAATGTCTTTAAAAAGTATTTAAATACTCAAGTCTCCCTTAAGTACTGTATGTATCAGTATTGATAAAATATCAAATCACGTGGCATCTGCAAACAAATGATGCTTTTCTCAGAACTAACAGCACTGGTGATTTTTGTGGTTACAGTATATATTCTAAACATCTGGTTTAGTAGCCTAATAGTGTAATCACAGGTGTAGTTCATCGCCTTAAAGCTTGTCTGCCATTGGTCAGGCCACAATTTTTTTCGCCCTGGTCTTACGCCATTGGTTGAGCCGGTGCTGTTACAGTAGTAGCAGGCTGGTCAGGATGCTTAAGCAAACATCAGAGTTTTTATAGCACCACAGAGACACAATGTTTACACTTGTCTTGACACTTTTCATGGAGATAAATGTACAAAAGTGACACAAAAGACTTTTACTTTACCAAAAAATTATATTTAAAAAAAATTCTGTTAATTTGAAAATTCAAGTAATCAAGCAATCCTGAAAAGTTTCCACAAAAATATTACGCAGCACAACTTTTTTCAACATTAAGGATAATAAGAAGAAATGCTTCTTGAGCAGCAAATCAGCATATTAGAATGATTTCTGAAGGATCATGTGACACAAGAAGACTGGAGTAATGACTGCTGAAAATTTAGCTTTGCCGTCACAGGAAAAAAATCATAATGAATTAATTACATTTATTCATTATGAATATTTCAGAATATATTTTTACATTTTGAAATATATTTACATACAAAACAGTGATTTTAAATTGTAATAATAGTTATCAATATCACTGTTTTTACTGTATTTTCTGATCAGATAAATGCAGCCTTGGTGAGCAATAGAGATTTTTTTTTTTAATTTACAAAAATCTTACATACTCCAAACTTTTGAGTGGTATTAGTGTTTTAACATCGAATTACACGCTCCAGCTTTAACCATTTTCCAAAAAGCGTGTGAGTGCTTTGTCTTCATTTTGAATAGATCTATTTTTAATCATTTTAATACCTGCTTTAGTGAAATATTTGGCTTAAAAAGTGTGCTATATTTGTTTTTAATAAAAAAAATAAAATAAAATGGTTTAATATTTTGTTATAAGATTGAATGACATTCATGCATTTTGACTGTCTGAAGTATCTGAATATGTTTTGGGGCCTGTACACAGCAACACAGTCATTGACAGATGTATTCATAACAAATGCCGGTGATAATTACTGACAACTGACATTATTGTTTTGGAAAAGACTGAGACTGTGAATCTCAAGAGTGCTCCTTTGCTTCAGTTACCTTCATGTAAACAAACACCTGTCCTGAGCCTTCCTGAAAATCAGACTGTAGACAGGGCTCCCTGTTAACCTAAGTAAACTTGTCTGCAGTGTTAAATGTTTACTATGCTGTAGGTTTTTTTCCCTTGAATATGCTTGAATAATATTTTGCTTCACATGACTGTATCATTCATCACTTTAGGCAGCATAACAGATAGATTTACATTTCAAAAACAATCATATACAGAAAAATATATAAATATTCTACATTATGTAAAGCTGTTTTTGGCAGGTGTCATTAGTGGTGTTTGCTGAGGCTGTTATTCATACTTGGGGTTTGAGTTTTAAACAAACAAAAACGATGCCTCATTTTGTGCAGCCTCTTGAAATAGGTGTGCTGTTACTTAAGTGATCACATTATACGTTGTCTACATTTAATAGTTTTTTTTTCCAGCTCTAAAATGTTTAATCAGTTATTAGCCTTTAAAAAGCCTTTACTGTATTTTCTGATTTAATTTTTTTTTATTTAACATTTTAGTGATTTTATGTGCTTTAGTTTTATTAGATTATATTTCTACACAGCCTTCATTTATTTTTATTTCAGTTCAAGTAATTTTATTATTTATTTCTGTTAGTTGCCAACCATTCTTTATTAGTTTATCATCTAATATTTGTATTTTATTTTAGTTTTATGTCTATTAACGAAAATTATTTTGAATATTTTAAATATTCTCAGTTCAATAAAATGCAGTTTTTAAAATATTTCTCTATTGGCTTTTTTATTAGATAATTAAGCCTCTACCTCTATAAAATGTAAAACAAACTAAAAAAGGTAGCCTGTAATTACTGAAAAGTTATGGAAAGGTCTTTGGTCAAAAGGTGTAGAAACTCTGTAGAGACTTTGAGGGCTCTGAAAAAAAAGGCTAGTTCTGTCCTTGTGATTATAGTGTTTTACTGGTTAAGTAGGATGTGATCCTGAAGTTTGGTTTGGGTTTCAGGAGCAGGAGGAGATTGATGCCACACAGGAGGTAGATGATTCAACTCCGGCCGAGGAGGAGGAGCTGGGTGCTGTCGAAGAGGAGCGCAGCGTCATTCTGCACCTCCTCTCTCAGCTCAAACTGGGCATGGACCTCACCAGGGTATATCAGCTCCATCTCATTAATGGCTCTCATTTCATCTTGTGTCTTTCTCAAACCTCAGATAAAGTTTTTATTCATACCACTTTGAATGAAATCTGTTATACACTAAAAAACTCAAATAGGTTTTACTCCGAAATTGCTGCTACATTTCATGCATAATTACCAAGAAATGGCAAGTAACGCATTGAATATGAAATTTTAAAGTAGAAATACTGAAATAGTGTTATCTTGTAAAAAAAATACTCCAATCATCTTTGTTTTGATTATGCTTTCATCAAAATAATTTTTTACAGTGTACGATTTATTCATTATGAAATAATGCAGTGTTTTAAATGGGCGTATAGGTGGTCCTGCCTACCTTCATTCTGGAGAAGCGCTCCTTGTTGGAAATGTATGCAGACTTCATGTCCCATCCAGACCTTTTCGTGGCCATCACCGATGGCTCCAGCCCGATGGACCGTATGGTCCGATTTGTGGAGTATTACCTCACTTCCTTCCATGAAGGTCGCAAAGGTGTAATTGCCAAGAAGCCCTACAACCCCATCATTGGAGAGACCTTCCACTGCTCTTGGAAAGTACCCAAAGTGACAACGCCTCCGTCAGCAGACCCAAAAGAAGGGACCTCGTGTGCATCAGACTGCTACAATGTCCGCTTTGTGGCTGAGCAGGTTTCCCATCATCCACCTGTGTCGGGCTTCTATGCAGAATGCCAGGAGAGACAGATGTGTGTCAACACCCACGTGTGGACCAAGAGCAAGTTCATGGGCATGTCCATTGGTGTCTCTATGATTGGAGAAGGTGAGTTTCGCCTGCCTTGCACGCATTTTTGCATGTCCATTGTTGATTATTAGAAATGTTCATTCCTGTGCTCGCAGGTAATCTACACCTATTGGAGCACGGTGAGGAATACACCTTCAGTCTGCCCTCTGCTTACGCCCGCTCTATCCTCACTGTGCCCTGGGTGGAACTGGGAGGAAAGGTCAATGTCAACTGTGCCAAGACAGGCTACTCTGCAGTCATCACCTTCCAGACAAAGCCTTTCTATGGGGGCAAGCTGCACAGGTCAGGATCACATTACATGACTCCATTTTCCATCTCTGTGAGACAGTATAGTGTTTTCAATGTAAATTTATACAGCAGCCCTGAAGAACTGTTAATTAGTATACACTACCATTAAAAGAATGCATCAAATTAATCAAAAGTGACTGTAAATACATTTGTTTCCACAATAATATTAAGCAGCACAACTATTTTCAACACTGATAATAATATTAAATGTTTCTTAAGCACTAAATCAGCATATTAGAATGATTTCTGAAGGCTCATGTGACACTGAAGATTGGAGTAATGGCTGCTAAAAATTCAGCTTTGACATCATAAGAATAAATTACATTTCGAAATGTATTCAATTGGAAATATTTAAAATTGTCACAATATTTCACAATATAATTTTTATTTTTTTTTTTACTGTATTTTTAATTAAATAAATGCAGCCTTGGTGATCATAAGAGACTTCTTCATAAGAGACAACTGCCTTTTTTTTTGGTGCTTTGCCTTAAAGACTTCAGTGTGAGTTTGCTGTGTGGTCCAGTATAGTTTGCACTGCTCCATTACATTGGTTCACAAAACAATCTAGCAAAGATCAGACTGAAATAGTCAGGGATTCTATACAAATGAAGGGGACAAGTGCAACTGGCTGAAAAAGTATCTAGACGCCAGCTTTAGTATCAGTATGGTCTTTTTGGAGTGTTGAAGAGTTCTAAGTGACAGGATCACTTGTATATCCAAAACAAAAAAAATGTTGAACAGGGACTTATGGAAAAATAAATGGGTGGGGTGAATTTTCCTTTTATGTTGACTTCTAAGATGAAGTTAATTTGGGTTCTTTATGATATGAGCACTTTTAATCAGAAAGCTGAGCCAGTTGACTGTAACAAAAACCTGTGCTTTGTTCCTCAGAGTGAATGCAGAGGTCAAACACAACCCCACCAACTCCGTGGTGTGCCGTGTGCAGGGCGAGTGGAACGGCGTGCTGGAGTTTACCTACACCAGCGGGGAGACGCGTGTCGTAGACATTACCAAACTCCCCGTCACCACAAAAAGAGTACGGCCCAATGAGCTGCAAGGACCCTACGAGTCTAGGTAACACTAGCCAATCAGTTTACTGTTATATTCAAGCCACACGATTGAACTATACAGTGCCAACAGTGTTTATGTTGATAAGATGGCACTTGTCTTTTAAATGAGCCAACTTAACAGCAAAACAAGTGATTTAAAGGAATAGTTAAAAAAAATTATATTGTGAAGGTCTGAGAAAGTAAGTTATATGGGTTTGGAACAAAATGAGGCTCAGGATATGTAACAATTTTTTTTTTGGAGGAACTATAAGTGAAAATCATAATTTCTCCATAGCTGTCTTGTTGTCTGTGGATTCAGAAGCATTTACTGAGAGCGTGTTGATGTGGTGTGAAGGCTCCGTCTTTAATCCGTGACTCTTCTCCCTGCAGGCGACTGTGGCAGCATGTGACGGAGTCTCTCAAGGAAAGAGATATGGATAAAGCCACGGAACACAAGCGCTTCCTGGAAGAAAGGCAGAGGAAGGAGGAAAGGCATCGCGCAGAGACACAGACAGCATGGAGGACCAAATACTTTGAGCGCAAAGTAAGAACACATCTGCATCTTATTTTTTAAATCATATGCTAATTTGCATGTATTGAAAATAGTATATTATAAAAGAAAAGTTACTGAAGATATTTTGGATGTATTGTTGTTTAACTCTTGTTAAGGATTGCCTGCTTTCCACTGTTTGTAGTTTTTCAAAGTAATGTTATTATAAATAAAATAAATTTTTGTCCGTGAAATGTGACAGATTCTTCTACTTTTCAACACATCCCACTCTTGGCTACATTTGAAGTTTCATGGCACATTTTGTCTCAATTAATGCCCTGTTTCACTTGGAAATGGGTAAGAATCAACACTGTGTGTTGAGTGTCAAAGTGAAGCTTGAATGGAGTGCTGCAGGAAGGAGTCCTAAAACTCAGAAATAAGCACTTCTGGTTCCATCGTCCTGAAGTCAGTGGGTTTTTTGGCCTGAAATAAGGTCTGAGGTTGATGCAAGCTTGAGATATTTTCACAATTTATTCAGCAACATAAAATACAACAGTGTTTCTTTTTAAGTTATTGTGTGTCTTGAAAAAGGGGTCTACAGAGGTTGTCAGGAATATTAAATGTCACCACGCTCATCAGAACTCATCTACTGTCATCCGCTTTTACAGCCTCAATGTGTTTATAATCACGCTCTTGCAAAATATTCTAATTCAAATTTTCCAACTAGTAGATTTTAAATGAAGATTGAAAGAATCGTCGGAAGCTTAGTGGCGGTGACGTTAAAGTCACGTGACCGTGGTGTGTTTGTTTAAAGCCTAACTTTAACTTTTTACTTCTGCCAATTATATTTAGGCTTCAAAACAGTTGCGTAAATTTACGAAGACTATCTTGCCATACAACACAATGAGAAGCTAATCTTCTGCAGTAATTCAAAAGCATACATGTATGTAAAAACCCTATTGGGTTTTTATCGGGTGAATTATGGTAATGCTAACTTCTGGTTTGGCCCTCATTTTTTTTTTGTCTTTTTCTAGGGTGAAGGCTGGGTGTATTACCAAGCACTGTGGAAAATGGCAGCCCATAGCTCTTCCCCAGTGTCCACTCCACAAAACCCATGACCTCTGACCTTTTTAAGACCTGAGTCCAGGCATTGTACAGCCTCCTGCTGCAGTAAACCTCTGCTCCGGTGTTCCCTCTCTCACAGATGAAGACATACACTCTCCTTTGTATGATTCTGATATGATTGTATGACTCTGATGTTCATATTTTGCATCCTTCGGTGGTAAGATTTTTGTAGAACTACACAGTGAATGATTTCTTCAATCCGCACACAGATATTGTTTGTTAATGTTGCCTTAACGAGTGTCGTATGTAACGAGGGCTGAGTACAGTGTGCCGGTTCTTAACGTGGGATTGTGTTTGAGGTGAACTTCTTAATCTAACCATACTGTGGTGTACTGTTTTTAACCACGGTACGATCAAAGTCGTTATCACGATTTAGATGATATCAAATGAAATGCAGGATTAGGGGAGCTCGTTCAGTAAGGTGGAGTTGAAAAGGACAGGCGTCTAGTTGCGTTGATAACTGGCAAGATGTGAGTTGTTATTGCTTAGCCAGATGCAGCTGGAGTGTTGATGAGAAAGAAACCGTTGGCTTGGCTTTCGTATGATGCTGTCTTTTTCTCGTTCTCGCTCTGGTAAATAAAGCTTGCAGGCGCTATACACAAAATCTGGGCCGGATGGAAGTGTTCGGGTTCAGGCCTGCTCTTCTGTTTCTGCTTGATGTTCAGTGAACAATTATGTTGGCTTAAAGGGATAGTTCACCCCCCAAAAAAATTCTGTGATCATTTACTCACCCTCATGTCATTTAAAATCTGTAGGACTTTCTTTCTTCTGTGGAACACAGATTTTTACAATGAAAGTCAATGGGGTGGATCCAAAGGTTATAATGACATAAGGGTGAATAAATGTAACCAAATTGTCATTTTAGGAGAACTATCCCTTTAATGCTTACGATGAGCACTTTAACTGTTTAGACCTAGAAAAGAGCCAGCCTTATAATATTCTCTATATGCATAATAATATGTGTAAATACAACCCGATTAGACAGTATTATTGGAGATACAGTAAGCTCTGTCAAAAGTTCTGACGGACACCAATCTGATCTGTCAAAGTAATGCAGTTTAATTTTATGATTTCGGACTGCAACGTTCCACTTCGATTCTACCTCGATTGACATTGATAACATTGTTTTTTTAAAGGGATAATTACCCAAAAATAAAAAATTTGACTCACCCTTATGTTTACTCGCCCTTATGTTGTTCTTTGTAGTCCATATGACTTGTGCGCTACATTAAAAGTCATCTTGTCAGATTTCAGTCTTAAATGTCATTTAGATGCCTGTCAGACTAGATTTCAGTCTTGCTGAGGAAAAAAAAAACTTCTAAAACCAGTTGGTCTTAGATGGTTTCTCAGCTTGGTCAGCCAAAACACCAGCCTGGTTTTTAAGGGGAGTTCGGCACTTTTCAGCTGCTCAGATTGGAAGACCAGCGAAGGCCACCAAACTAGGTTCGACTGTTTGTTTGTTTTTTTTCAGCAGGGCATTAAAACTATCATATGGTTTCCGAAGACTTTGTTGTATACAAGTTTTATAGAGCACTTTTATGGAGTTCTGAGATATAAGTCACAATTAACTTTTCTTGCAAAATTGCAGCTTGGACATTCTGCCTGACATCTCCTTTTGTATTTCACAGAAAATAAGAAAATAATATGGGCTTTGGAATGACATGAGGGTGAGTAAATGATGCCAGAATTTTCATTTTTGAGCAAACTCTTTTAGGCGCAATCAAGATGTGTTGATAGCACCTATTCCTTGCTAAAGGTTCAGGTTTTTACTTAGCTGGTCATGTTAGTAATAGTTTTTTTTGGCAAAAGGTTTAACCACGTCAAATTTGAAGTTTCAAAGTTCTTCAAGATTTTGTGTTTAAATGCTTCATTGTTCATTTTGCCAGCGGGGAACAGTTGGAGTGACGGTGCTGGCTGAAGTGTTGCATCTCTCATATAATCTCTGCTTCAGCCCTGGCATTGGTTGCGCTGAGAAACTTGTGGTGCCTTATTTGTGTTAGTCTTCCTCCCGTTCCACCTCACAGCCATCAGCTTTCTCATTAAAACAGAGCAAGACTGAAGCCACAGCCTTTGTACATATCTCCTTTCATTTTCCTGTCAGCAGAAATACAGAATTCCCACGAAGCGTTTGGTACATCAGCTGTGCTCTCCACTCAGATCATCAACTGCACTGATGTTTTAAATACACTCCCTGTAGCCTCAGAAAATATGATTGAAAAAATAAAATTAATATATTGGAGGATTTCAACTATTAGTGAACTTTCTGTCTGTGTGGTATCAAGAAATGTTGCAAATATTTCACTAACTGGTATATAAAAGAAGCTCCATGGGTTCCATTTTGCTCATTCTTTTAGAATTATGCATGTGGCATTATGATCTAATATTAATTAAAATATGGAATGTTTTGTACTTGATTTGTCACATTGACAGACCATTTAAAATAACCTAGGAAATTCAAAACTAAGGAACCCATTCTCTGCCTTAGAGTAAAAAACATAATAAAGGTAATTGCGACTTTATTTCTCACAATTGTGACTTTATTTGGTTTAATTGTATTTCACATAGTGTGGCTTAATATCGCACATTTGCAACTTTACGTTGTGACTATATATTTCACAGTGTCACTTTATCAGTGCGATTTTATACTTTACAATGCAACTTGATTTCTTGCGATTGCAACTTCATATCTCAAAGTTGGACTCAGCCTTATTTTAAATGTTAACCTTTCTCACAATTACCAGTTTTATATTTTATTCTGAGGCAGAAACAGGTTTCTATACAGAACAGTGATTAGAAATAATACCGTTTTCCTTATATACTACCATTCAAATGTTTGGGGTCAGTAAGGGTTTTTAGTAAGAAGTTACTTTATACTTTCATTCAGCAAGGAAACATTAAATTGATCAAAAGTGACAGGTACAGACTGTTTGGTTGTTACTTTTGCTATTTCAATTCATCAAAGAATCATAAAAAAGTATAAAAGTGTCCACAAAAAATATTAAGCGGCACAACTTTTCAACACTGACATTAATAAGAAATGTTTCTTAAGGACCCAAATCAGCATATTAGAATGATTTCTGAAGGATCATGCGACACTGAAGACTGGAGTAATGTAATTTGTCATTTGAATTGTAATAATATTTCACAATATTACTGTATTTTTTGATCAAATAAATGCAGCCTTGGTGAACCTTGGAGAACTGTTTTTCAAGAATATGTAAAAATCTTTCCGACCTCAAACTTTTTGAACAGTAGTGTAAAATGTAACCCAGAAATGTTGTTTAAAAAAAGTCAATGGACACATTATGCATATACATTTTATAAAGTGATTACTGTACGGCTGTGAAGCCAGTTCACACTAGGAATGGGCAAAATGACATCTTTGTTTGCCTCATCTCCAGTAATGGAAAAAGCATAACAGGTTGCCATATGTTCATGTTGACATTTGCACAGAAAGTATTCATCTCCATCAGTTCTTTTTCCAGTGTGCAATCTGGTATGAATTTTCCCTGTCCCTCAAATAGCTCTGTAGAATTTGGGTGAACCTCAGATGATTGCTTTATAAAATTGGAGCATAAATGCAGGCTCTTTAGAAACTAGACAAGTTAGTGTCATGCTTTTCTCGTTGCCTGAGACCCAAGCTCATTAATGTAACAAATCATTAGTATTACTGAATCCTGTTTACCATTAGAAGCGAGTCTAAGGAATCTTTTAAAAGTTGCTTTTTTTTCTTTTAATTAGGATAAGCTAATTGATTATAATCAATAAGTCTGGAATGAACAGACTCATCCTCAACTTCTGAAGCAGGACATTGATAAGATAAAAAGCCTTCATGTAGTTGTCATTTCATTAAAGTATTCAGGTCAGTGGTTAAAACAGGGTCAGTGCAAAGCAACTCCCCAGAGCAAAAGGAATGTCGGGCTCAGATCACATTTTGAAGTTATTCTAAAATTATTTGAAAGGACTACAACCCTGTGTGAGCAATGAAATGAAACTGGTTATTTTTTATGTCTAAAAACAGCAGTTATGTTGCTAGTGTATCGTCTGTGGTTCTGTGGTTAATCAAATTGAAGTCCCCCCAAAACTGAGTTTATGGGAAGATCACGTGGATTTCATGAGTGAGTGAGTCAGAAAGAGCAATGGAAAATTGTAAATCAGAAAATGATGTGTGGTAAACATTTTTGGGAAAACATGTTAGTAATAACTGCGCTATTTGCAGCTTTCTGCCACATACCCCTAACTTCACCTGCGTTAGCTTTTTTTTTTTTTTTTCTTTATGGCACAAAGCAGCCTTTTCATCCTTCACTATATCCTTTAACGACATTATACAAGTAAACGAGGATATGTTAGAACAGAAACCCTCTTTTGTCCGTCAGTTTAGATTAGCATTTAAAGAAAAACGGAGACCAGCTCCACATAATGATTCGATATGGATTACAAGAAGAAGTCTGATTTTTACAGGCAGTTCACATTTGACTTGGTTGCCTGGAGGAAGCGGAGATCTGCGTGTCAGATGTAACATGCGGACTGATGCCAGTGCTGTGGTCCGTGCAGGGAGGAAGGAAGGGAAGGGATGGGCTTTGGTCCTCTGTAGATGGCAATATGGGTGCGTGGGTGCAGATGGAGTTCTCAAGCTCTTCCTGTGCCAGAGTATTAAAGCGCTCCACCACACAGTGTGCTGTCAGACGAGCCTCCGGGTCATGATCCCAGCACTCTGTTATAGTCGCACACAAGAGCTGCATGCCCTAAAAGACCAGGCAGAAATGTCAGTAACACATTCTAAGAAGCTTGTGAAAATAATTTCGGTATGCCAGTGTCAATATATATACATGTGCATATTTAAAATGTATATTTTATTAGGATATTATGTGTTATATATGTTAAAATATTATAGTTATTATTAATTGTATGAATGTGTGCACATGTAATTAATAATGTACATTTTAATTACATTTAAAACATGTAATAATTAGATTTTGTTATTATAACATGGGTATACATCAAATTTATTGAGGAGATATATATTTTTAAAATGTAATATTTTTAATATATAATTTTATAAAATACATTATATTGGGTATATATTCAAATCTTATAATAATGAATATATATATATATATATATTGTTTTGTATATATTCAAAGATTATAATAATGAATATATATATATATATATATTGTGTGTGTGTAATGGTATACGTCAAATTTTCTTTTGAAAATTAAAAAAGTAGGTGTTTGTGTGTATACATATATTAAACATTCAAGAAATTAAATAATTAAACAGATTTTTAAATGTGTTAAAATATTTGTATTTTTTTCAAATAAATTAAAATTAAAAATACTTTAAAAAATAATATTTTGAAAAATGTTTTTACATTTTTAAGTATATATATTTAATAAGAAGCCTTCTATTTTAAATGTATATTTAAATGCGCGTATTTAAAATCTAAAATTTCTGTCCGCACTGATAGCCTGTTGGGCAAGTGCATCGACATATAATGACTCTCTCTCTCCCACCTCCCTTCCTGTCTACTCTCCACTGTTGTATCATAATAAACATTTTTTTTATGTGTTTTGTGAATACGCACTGGATGTGTTGTCCAGCTCTCTGGAATATCTGGTCGTCCTCTGTCTCTTAACACCAGGTCTCTCATGCTATCTACACAAGGTTGCTCACACACCTTGGAGCCAAATGGGGGTTCGTAACTCTTTACCTCTGTTAAAAAGAACACAAA